ACGGAAGTAGATAAAAATCTCGACAAAGGAACAAAAAGACCATTCGGTAGAGTAAGAAAGTTTTAGGTCAATTGGTTGCGTTTAAGAAAGAACGCCAAAGGTGTGAAAAGTATTAGTAACTGTCAATCTTGATTTGATGGCGTAACAGCGAGTGGCATATGTATGTATGTATGTATATATAGAGTGATTGGCCAACCTTTTTGCTGAGCAGCAAAATAATAGCTTTGAAGTGGCTTAGCACCTAAAGGCATATGTAATTGAATTTAATGCTGCATAAGGAAATGAGTTTCGAAAAGACAAATAGGGTCGCACATTTTTCAGTTTGGCTAATTTACAAGTTATTCGACAACATTTTATTTGTAACTTTTATATTTTTTTAGAACTTGGTATTTTTGTTACTCATGAAGAAAAAATGTGTGCATAAAGTTACTGAAAAAGCATCGGATTTCATAAGTTGGAAATATTCTTCAGTGAAAGACAGGCATTACTTAGAATTACGATGAAAATAGAATTACGACTTATTCTAAACATTTTTTATAAATATAAAAATTTACAAAAAAATTAATTGATTAGTCAATCTTAATGAAGTTCACAAATAATACACATAAAAATATTAAATAATATCTTAATAGGGCAGTGGAGTTGAAATCTCAAAGTTGCTTCAAAAATGTCAAAACTAAAGATATGCACTTCGGCATTATTAGAGTATTATAGCAATTTATATTTAAGTATAATAGCATAGCGCGAAAAACTAATTACCTGACTTTAAAAATAATATGGTTAATTAACTCAAAATTGTTAAGTTGCTTAATTAGCTGCCACAACAAAAAATGAAAATTTCATTGCTGGTAATAATTTCGACCTGACTGATTTCTGATTGTCACCAAATATATACATTAATTTTTTTACGTAGGCCTTACTACACTCATATATTCTTGACATAAAGAAGGTAGTGTTACTTTGCTTTTTTCCCTTGACCTACCTGGAATGCTTTTATGGGTATATATAATGATATGCATTGTCATATATAAAAAGGCATTTCAAAAAGTTGAGCAAATTAATTATAGCTAATGGATTGGCTTATTATCCCGACACCAAAGGACAAATGATTAATTTTGCTGTTTGAATTTGCAAACAAAAATTGCCGGCCTTTCGTCCAGCACAGAAAGAGCAGTGAATAAAATTATTGAAGTAAGCAAAAAAAAAAAAAAAAAAATAGCAAAAACCCAAGCTGGTAAAAACTAAAAAGCGAAAATAGAAAATATTTCACTTTGACAAGCGTTATTTATTTCGTAACGTCCTCGAACAAGCAAGGGTTGGTCGTTGGGGGCTATGTCCACTAAAAGTAGTCATTAGGGTGGAGCGAAAAATTTTTTTTTGCTTAGCCTGAGGGTGAAATCTGCAGATTATAAATAAAAAAGTTTTTGACAAAAAAAAATTTTTTTTAATATCTAGAGGCGTCGCACTCAATTTTAAAGTAAAATTTCGAGTTAAAGTTTTTATTTCGTAAAATTTTCTTGATAAGTGTCGAGAGACCAAATCTCTGGCCAAATAAAAGCTATCAACTTAAAAAATATTTTGTGGTCATTATTGGAGTTTTTAATAAAAGTCTTAGACGACGATATGCTTTGCTTAAGTGCTGAAATAAATTTTTAGTCAAAAACCGTCACATTATAATTATATATATATATACGTAATTTTTATATAAATGTAAAGTGTTTATACCAAAAATAATTTTTTCTTGAAAAAAAAAGTTTAACTCGAAATGTTAAAAAAAAATTTTTGTCCAAATATTTTTTTTTATAATCTACAGATTTAACCCTCAGGCTAAGCAAAAAAAAATTTTTCGCTCCACCCTAATGACTACTTTCTTTGGGCATTAGAGTGACCAGATCTCTCTTGCAAAGAAGAAATCGAAGGGCGTTTTACTTTTACTTAATGTTCAGAAAGGCATTCTAAGCTGTTTAGTTGTAAAAAAAATCACGAGAAAGCGTTTGAAGGTATCAGCATTAAGGAAAACTTTTCCATGGCTGGAACAATTTACATGGTCTCTGAAATAAAAACCGAATAGAAATAAATTTGGGATTAATTTCAATACGGAAGCCTGTACATATGTATGTCAGAAAATTTTGATTAATAAAGTGGGTTTAAGGCCACCGCAAGAAGCGCAATTCTGAAAGCTTTACGGTGAAGTTAACATTTAGCAACCTATCACCATCATTACAAGACTTTCCAGAAGAACCAACGAAAGTATGTAGAAAACACTCATGCTTTGCTTGTCTATCTGAATATATCTGATCTAAATATCTAAACCAAACTCACGTCAATAACTTAGGTTAATTCACTCAGCTAAACAAAGCAACTTTAATGGCTATAAAAACAGATAGCGGGGGAGTTTTATAAAAAAATATGTTCTCGAAGCTCTGATGCTATCTGTCTGGAAGCTATAATATATATAAATACCAAATTTTAGCTGTTGTGATCATTGCAGACTTTTCGGATCGCTGACCTTTGGTTTTGAATTTTAATAGAGAGGTTACTTGGGTACAAGAACATAAATATGTCATAATCCTCACCTAACCTAGATTGCAATTCAAATCTTCATATATAGGTTGAGCACCTAAAACAACTTTCGCCAGGCAATCATATTGCAAGTAAATGATAATTAATATTTAAAGCATGGCAAGTTTTATTCCACAATTGACGCGTGTATCCTTTATTTATTTCTCTCCTAATACTTCATCTAACTGTTGGAAACCATTTTACAGAACCTGGTCACCCTTAACATAACAATACAACACGATTTATTATTCTGTCTTCACGCTCTGGTCACAGAAGACTGATCACAGTAAGCTGCTCACTTTCTTGGATCCTTCTTATGGCTAAGCTTTACTATTTGTTTCCGCTTCTACTTTTTCGTTACCGAATTTATCAACACCACAAAGGAATAATGAAAAGCTTGTTTCAATCTGACGCCGTTGCGAAACTAATTTATCATTTTGAAAGATTAGGCGAATTGTTTAACAGCAAAGAAACACAAAGAGAAAATAAAAAGAAGAAAGAAACAAACGGAGATGGTCGAAAGGCAACAAACGAAAAGTCAACAGTTGAAAAGACAAAACCAACACTTAATGTTGAAAAGTCAGTATTTGAAATACAGCGTAAACTTGTTTTTAATATTTTTTACGAAATGTCAGTGTTACGCACGAAAAAGTTTCAACAAGAAAAATTACAAGTTAATTGATCTTTGGTGACACAAAGAGTTGTTGACGCCTCTCAGAAGAAGTAAAACGCCATAGGACAGACGATGGCATATATATTTTCTAATTAGGTTGAAATTTTGGTGAAACTGTCGATGTGAACTAAGGTAAGAGCTGTGAGAGGATCAGCCCCATTTGACTAATTGCGCTTCTATGGTTTGCCTATTTCAAATGCAACACTTAACTTGAAATGGCATGAAACATCGGTAAAGTGGAATGAAAGCGTTATTAGAAAGTTGGGGATTCTTGATCAATTATGAAGAGGATAAGCTTTCGCATAAATAATAGAAAACTGTTGAAAATCAATGCCAACATTTTTCAAACTTTACAATTAGCTTGAAACTTTTTGATATTCGTGTGGTAGTATGTCTTGTAAAGCTTTGAAAGCTCCATAGTACAAGTATATTCTACAAGTTTACTAACCTGCATATAAATTGGTACAGCTAACTGCTAATGTCCATAATTGACTACAGAAAAGCGCAAACATACACATGGAAATATATTTGTGCTTTTTAAAGCTAACTTTAGTTGTGGCTATTGTTGTTGTTCAACCAACTTTGAATTGCAAATAAATTTATGTTGCTTTCATTGCAAATTGATGGCATAACTAATGGATTTGATTTTTATGCCAGCAGGAGCAAGTTGCCACAAATTGACCTTTTGCTGCACATACATACACACACGACTGTCTTTTTGTGCTATTACAATTATTATATACCATTCAATCTGTTGATGCTTTCTTATCAAGCACACAAATTGCGATTTCCACTTCCGGCAAACGGAACAAATTACTATTAAAACGGCAATAAAAGTGAGCGAAGCTTAGCTAGCAAATACAGTTAGAGCCAATAAGAGTGAAAAGGAACGAAGAGAGGCGGAATAAAAATGGTATAACGCAATGGAATTTTTGTATTCAACGCAAGCGCTATGAATGTAAAATGGGCAAAAGAGCCAGGGAAAGGAGCTGGTGGTGCAAAGTTACATGTGGCAAGCAAATACTACTGCTAAGAAGCTTTTATTGTTGGCTACTAAATTGAATGGTAATGGAGTTGTAAACATTTGCTGCTGACAAGGCGCATGTAAACAAACTGGCAGACATACAAACACAAGCACATATGTTTAAAAATATTAACGGTGTTTTTATGCAATAAAAAATAGCGAAACGGATTAGCCTTTTTAAACCCAAGGCACAAACAGTTGTGCTTGTATGTTGTGGCAGGCAAAATACATAACTATGTGTATGTGAAACATTATATTTTTATTTTTATTGTGTGTATATATGTATATCTGTGTGAGTTTGTGTGCTACATTCTTGTGGTAGGTGACGAGCTTTCGCTGTGCAGAAAATAAATGCCGCAAAATTAATGTGACTTTTTTACTACTTTGTGGTACTACTAAATGTTTACACAGAAATAAATATGTTTTTATGTGCATACATACACAGATGAAAACAAATAAACATATGCTCAAAAGTGAAGTTGTTAACAAATTGACAGAGAAGCACTTTGTGCGGTTTACTTGTGTAATTTTTTGCCGCTCTTGCTCCCTTTTGCCACCTTATACAACAATAAAATTTATTGTGTTGTCAGCAAATAAATAAAACTGCCTCCAATTTCGGAGTAATTTAACGGTTTTCCTAGCAACTCAACACCTTGTTGCATATTTTAGCAGGCCTTGTGCTTAGAATATTTTTCCGCGAAATGGATGTATGTACTTCTATTATTGTTATAACGTACTTACCAATAGGACGACCCAGAAGTGCATTTTTGTATTCATTATTTTTATCTGCATAGTCGTAGGATCATGATTTGCTCTGTAAATATAAAGTTGTAAAATGACAATTATAAATAATTAGTTGATGTGCAGATTAAAAAAAAAGAAGAAATTTTTTCATGCAATCAAAATGTATTTATTAAATACATATATTATTACATATATCTTATACTAACAGTTAAGTACGGTATACAATCAAGCAGAATATATAGAGTATACGAGCCCTAAAGGTTTGTGTGAACTGATTCCAGCCATTTCTGAGACCAGGCAACAATATACACAAGATGATATGCTCATAGACTTTAGTGAGATCCCAAACGACTTAAAATCTTAATTTTAAGTATATAAGCATAAGCGAATGCTCTTCTTTAAGAGTTACACGTGGTTGTATACCACATTTTACTCATTCTCGAACCATGAAATACCGGAGACACGCCTATAAAATAAATTTTTAAAATTATCAGTTTGGAGACCTATAATTACATTATTTCCAATAAAGTTCTAGTTACGCCGGTATTCGCTACAGACTTATAGTTACTTTGAAAAATGCCGTTACCATATATGGAATGTGAAAGTGATTATAATCAAATTTCGTCTATTTTGAGGCGCTTAAGTCAACTTCTTTGAATTCTAGTAAGATATATTATGAGAGCACATATTTAAACTATTGCTATTCACATTGCAACATATTTGCTATATATTTGTGTGATATAAACAAATGCTTAATTCAACTGGGTTAAAATTATGAAACTACTACTATTTACTAGTTACTGGGATTTAACAAAAACAAAAAAAAAATATTTGAAAGCAAATTTATCTTATCACCCTCCTCCAAAACGTATCTTTCGACCCAGACTTGACCCCTGCTCTGCAATAATTTATTTCATTATATCTTTTAAATTCTGATGCAGCTTTATTGCAATTTATGAAATTTCTATGATTTCTATTTTTCTCTGCTTTGAAGCTGCCAGACAAAACAGTTAGAAAAACCACAAAAGAACACAACAAATAAACAAGGCAGGCAGCATAAATTCACGATCAAGAAGTCTCTCCTCCGCAACAATCTGAAAGCAGAAAATATGCAAAAGTCGCAGCAACAATCGTAGAAATAGCAAATTGAAAAACTTACTAATACCGCAAACTGAAGTTCGGTTTCTTTGCACATCTTTTCTTGGCTTTTGGCTCATTAAAAATGCAAAATTCTGCAAGAGTGTGCAATGAGGGAGAGCAACACAATTCTTAACGATGGCGGTCAACATAAATATTTATGCAAGAATGTAAACTTTGCTTACAGAATGCCTCGCCTGAATTTAGCTGTCGGTAGATGTTAAAGTTTCGAGAGGTAAATTTCAATTGCCGCAACTTGAAGTAACTTGTTCTAATTACTTTGGAATATCATTACATTGTGGAAACTATAGTGAAAATGTAATACAATTTCTTGATATTTGCGGCAGAAATGGGTAAAGAAAATGATTTAAAATTATTTGGGGAGGGAAAGAAGTCAGTGACTGTTTAAGTTTCCGATAAGTACCATACTTTTAGAGTGTAACCCTGCTCTTGTCCATTGCAAATAAAATTCGTTCACAAGCTTTTTGTTTGATCGTACCTAAAATACTAAAATTTTCGTAATTTTACGAGTATGAAAAATAGAGATTCGAAACCTAGTACATTCTGAATTGCTACACTCCAAAATAGATAAATTTGTTGTTTTCGAAAGAACCCAATGTTTCTTTAACACTAGTAAGTTTGGTGGTTTTTTTGAATTGATTAAACAAAGCTCAGTGCTACTGTATAATTTTAACTAAGTATTTGTACTAACTCATCTCTGTGCTCTAATTTTGATATAGCGCTCAAACCACCGCAAGTGTCAATGTAATTAAAACTTGAAACGAAATCTGATTGCGTCGCCGAATTGATACATTCGCAGTGTCGAAGAATTATCACGTGTCGCAAATGTACTGAAATGAAAACATGCAAATTGCCAAGAAATAAAATAAATGAATTAAAATAAATATGTAATACAAGAGTAAATGCTAAGAAAAAATCAACAACAATAATCACACGCTAGCGCTAACAGTAAAGCACAGAGTGACTTAGATTTACAAAGTCATCGGCAGTTCTACTAACCGTATCGTTATGTCATACTGTGCGCCTGAGATGCTCTAGGCGCTTATTGTTGTTTGTGAGTTCAGCAACAGAAGGTGTGTTAGAGGAGGTGGTGGATGTTACACGTAACGCAATTGACTTGCGGCAAGATGCGTCACAAAGTTTAGCGCGAGAAATGCGTCACACACAAGTGCCACATATAATGTTCAACAAACACAAACAAGTGTCTACACATATGCAAAAAGAAAAGTAACATATATATATATGTATATATATATATTTCATATATATATGTCATTACATTTACCTGCAAAGTTAGACCATAGATTTAAAACCACACTCACACATTACACATAGACAGACTTTGACATTCCTATACACACTTTTTTCTGCGAACACTAAATGTCACTCATACGCACTGTCAGCAGCACAATTCAAAGTTTTAACATTATGCGAATGAGTGCTGTGGTAATCACATATAGCGTAGGTGTGTATGTGTTAATGTGTGGAAAGCATTTGTGAACAAAAGCAAGTGTAAGAATTTATAAAAAAATAATAACCAATGTGTATGTACAAAGAAAACCCTAGACAATAAACAGCACTGTATATACATTAGGGCATTTCATTTAAAACGTTCTTTCATTTCAACATGGAGATATGAAAATTTGGTTTTTTATGTTGAAAAAAAAATTCCCTGTAAATTAAAGCACTTAATTTTGACTTTAAGTACTTCCTTTTTGATTTTTCACGTTTTTCAGATATAAAAAAAGTTTTATATGAAACAGCCTAATATATGTATGTATTTCTTTAATTGTTAACAATTTCTAATAGGTCTGCATGTACTAAGCTTTCCCACAATCTCACCACAAGTCAGAACTTTACACAGCACATTCGAGATATGTGAAAACAATGTTGTTTGTAATACGAGACACCACTTGACTTGCAATTGTGTTGGAGACAATTGTAAGTTTAACAGAAGGAGGAAGTTTGGTCACGGCAAGTTCAATTTGATAGCGGGGCGTAAAGGGACTTACCACTGTTGCTTTTTAAATTTAAAATTGGTTTGTGTTATGTGTCACTATAGACTTATTATTATTTAATAAAAAGCGCACTGAAATCTGTACGGGCTATGGACCGATTAAAAACAAAAAGTTTAGTTTCATATAAAAATTAAAATGCAATTGAATCGCCAAAATTTCAATTTGACGGCCATTGAAGTTTTCATTTATACGCCTCCTTATTATGATAGCGCTGATAGTAACTCAAAGTAAATTTTTGGCAGAGGCTTAATATCACCAATTGTACATTTATTCTAACAACCTAACCAAGCTATAAACTCTCTTGTGCAAAATAATTAAATGCTCATAAATATCTATGTATGATGAGTTTTTAAAAACATACATCAACAACATTCTGAGGTAATTAACGGGTGATCCAAGTAGAGGTACTTTTTTCAATAGCCTTTGTTTGACAGATCACGCCGTAGTCGTGTCAAGCTGTCATATAATTTTTTTTAGTATAGTTTGGCATTTTATCATTGAAGGACTTACGCCTGAACAACGTTTACAACTCGTTCAACTTTCACTCAACTTATGGTCAACATAATCGGACCAATGAAATGATCGAATAGACCACGTCCAGCATGCAGTGAAGAAAATATAGCGGCCGCAGTTGAGAGTGTAAGTTTGTGGAGAGTCGATTCGGTGCCGTTCGCAGAAACTCGGACTGACGTATGGAACGACTTGGCGCATTTTACGTTGAGATCTTAAATTAAAAGCGTACAAAATACAGCTTAGGCAAGAATTGAAGTCGCTCGACCTTCTCAAGCGACAGCGCTTCGCTCTATGGGCTCTTGAAAAGTTCGAGCCAAGTTTTGTTCAGCGATGAGCCTCATTTCTGGATCAATGAGTATGTAAACAAACAAAATTGCCACATTTGGGACGAAGAGCAATCTGAAGAAATTCAAGAGCTGGCATTTCATCCAGAAAAAAGACAACGGTTTGTAGATGGGGAAGTCATCGGTCCATATTTCTTCAAAAATGATGCCGGTGAGAACGTATCCGTCAATAGCGACCGTTATCGCGCCATGATAGCCGACTATTTGATGCCTGAAGTTGAAGCTCGTGATCTCGTGGAACTTTGGTTTCAACAAGACGGCGCCACTTCCCATACATCGCATCAATCATTGGAATTATTGAAAGAACACTTTGGTGAGCAGATAAATTCACGATTTGTACCGGTCGTTTGCCCACCAAGATCATGTGTTATCACACCGCTATACTCTTTAATGTAGGGATATGTAAAGTCTAATGTGGACAATCGCGTTTCAATTCAGGCCCCGGAGCAAAACATCAGGCGTGTCATTCGTCAGTTACCAGTCGAAATGCTCGAACGAGTCATCGAAAATTGGACTCAACGGATGGACCATCTGAGACGTAGCCGCGGCCATACATTTGTAGGAGATAATTTTCAAAAAATAAATGCCAAAGAATGTTCTTTCGAATGATAATAAGCACTCCCCATTAAATTTGAATTTTCTGTGTTTTTTCTTTGAAAAAGTAGAGAACCTCGAAATGGATCACCCTTTACTTAAAAGTTAATTTTAAATATTAGAAAGCACTCTGCTTTTAGTCAAGTTAACTCATTCGCGCAAAAACGTCAAGTCAACATTTAATACTTCGTCTGCAATTATACTATAAACGAAATATGAAAATCCTACATATATTCATTCAAGACCCTTTACAAATAACGCATTTATTTTCATATATACGTATAAATATATTTCGGAATTTTCCGAACGAAAAATGAGTCGAAGTCCCGCCGGAGCAGAGATGACAGTGAGCAAAATGCTAAATGACTAAGGAAATAAGAAATAAATGTGAGGAAAATTCCAAACGTCAGTGAAAGGTGAACAAAATGAATGAAGGCACATAA